TATGAAAAGGAAGCGGAAGTGCAAATCGCCCCTTCCCAAGCCAAACAGCGTCATTTCGCCTTCCGGTCAATTTTTATTGGAGATTCCGCCGAAACGCTTTACAAAACAAAAAAAGAGGCCGGTGCTCACCTCAATCAAACGAACACCATTCCCTCGTACCCAAGTAAGCAATTCAGATAGAGCCACCGTTGATCGCGTGCAGTCACGTAGACTCTAAAAAGTGGAAAACTTCAACGAAACTCAAACTTTATGGAAGAAAAAAAAGGAAAGAGAAATTCAGAAAAAAGGACAGGGTAGAAATTGAAAACCCAGGTAAAACAGAAAATTATCAGCAACACTTACATTCGCAACTTCGTTGAGAGAATCGACAAACATTTCGTCAGAAATGGGAGGTTGCCGGCGAATTCTGCGAAATAGGTCTGACGACAGTGGACGGAGGCGGAGCCACTTCCTAAAAAATTCGAGGGCTTATATGACGTCATTAAAAACAACTACAGTACATATGTAACCGTAGCCCGTACAAACCTTGGCGAATAATAACCGGGAACTGGGTGAATGTGCTCCCAGGGATTGTTCAGAAAACGAAAAGCAGTCCATCTGAATTTTTGACTCTTATTTCCATTTTCAATGATTTTCGGCAACGAAAATGTTTTAGGTAACGAACCAGGGTTTGAGCGACGACGGATAGGTTGCCATCTTGACTGACAGATTCCGAAACATCAAGGAGAATCTTCGGATTTTTGATAAGATGCACCCAAACACGAAGAATGTACAGATTCGATTTCCATTGCTGAATTAGCCGATGGTCGGACACCTGAAATGAGCTTAGAACTGATTCTCTGCGAACAAATCTGCGTCAGACTATACTGAAATGAAGTTGCAACTGTATTTCTTTATATTACATATAGGAGGGCCAAAAAACCCTTTTCCTTCCTCGACTTTCCAAGGCGATATAAGTTACACTTTATCAAATTCTGATTGGACATTTCCACCATCATATTCAACAACACATTGTACACTATCACGATACTCCGCCACAGCCTTCTGGACGAGCGCCATCGAGAGATTCTGCCACGCGACCTGCCCCACCCCTCCCGGCGCTGAGTTCAGCGAGGTCGTTGATTTCTCCGCCACTGTAGACCACCCTGTTGAGCTCCGCTCGGACCCGGTAATCGAGGGGTTTCAGGTCAGGTGACACACTTGGATATTCCGTCTTCTTCAGGTACTCAACGC